AGGGTTGAGATCCCGTTGCCGGTCCTGGTCCGGTACGGGCGCGACACTGAGGGTTGCGGTCCATTGCCGGACACGAAAAAAGACAAAAAAAAAAAAAGATTTTTTTTGAAAAGAGATGCTGCTGATATTTTCGTTTCTGTGAAACAACAGACGTGGAAGCCTGGACACTCTGTCTTGACTCTCGTCACCTGCTTGCCACAGCTCCTTTGCCCCTGGAGAGGCTGAGGAGATGAGGGCAATAGCTTCCTGTGACTTCTGAGCTTTCCCTCCTAACTGGCTCTGTAGCTGGGACAGGGAAGGCAAGGAAAGGGAGAAAGTGGAAGAATGTCCAGGGAGGTGTAAATTGGGGGCGAGCAGACATTACTCACCCATTTCCACAGGCGGTAGCCTGTGTTCTAAAGACAGGTGGAGAAAAAGAGGTCTCTGAACCCGTACCTGGGAAGAGCAGGGCTTGGTCTTCTAAAACTGTCCCCAAACCAGACACCAGCACTAGGGATTAGATCCAATGCAGCCAGGCCACCTGCCTCTTCCCACCTCCCTCTGTCTGGAAGGGTTAATAAATTCCTATTAGGTTCTGGTCCTGCCCCAGCTCTACCCTGACCTAGGTGCTGGCCCTGAGTAGCCACATGGGGCAGAGGCAGGAGGGCACAGCAGGGATAGAAGCCTGCATGGCCCCTGCCCCCACCTGGCTAGCCCTAGTCACACTGGTACACCGCCACAGGCAGAGGCTGAGGAACCAGGTGAGAGTAGGGAGAGCGCTCAGGAGACTGGAAGAGAACCTGACCTTGGTGTGGTGCGTGGCCTCTAACCAGGGCTGACTGAGGCTGAGCTGCTTGAGTCACAGGGCTCTGCCTAGAGGCTGGGTGTTGGGGTCAAGGCTCTGAGGGACTTCTCTCTGCCTGCACTGCTTCCTGGCCACAGAGTCTGCGGGGGATCCCCAAGGAGATGCAGCCTCTTGTGGCCCCAAAACCTGTAGCAAGAAAGCCTGAGGAGAGGATGCAAGGGCAGAGGGGGCAAAGAGAGAGAAGAGTGGCAGGTACTGGAGGGGGTGAGGGGACAGAAGAAGCAACGGAGAGATGCAGGGGGCCAAGGAGAGAAGCAAGAGAGGGCCAAGGAGATGGGGAGCAGGTGGGACCGAGGGGACAGAGGGATGTAGGGACAGAGACCAAGTGCTGGCGGACATCTGTACCCTGAAGTTGTATGTGTCAGAGGGCTGAAGGTCCTCATGTTTGGGAGCTAATGTGAGTGCACACGCACATGTTTTTGTGTGTGTGTGTGTGCACCTGTGTCTATCATCGTGTCCGGTGTGCATGTTTCTCAGGGTGTGTCTGTGGTTCAGAACGTGGTTCTCCGGGCCATTGGCTGTGGTTGTGATCGAGGGTCATTTTCTTGTCTGTGTTTCTGCCTGAGTGTGTATGGGGTTGTGCGTGGCTGGGTCAGTGGGGGGCATGTAGGCAGGTTCTCAGTGGGGTCTGTCACCCACTCTGTCGAGGGGCCCTAACGGTGGGTGCACCAGCACAGAGAGCAGGTGGCCTATCTCTGCTGGGTCTGGAGTGATGTCAATGTCCCCCACCTCCCAACACATACACAAAAACAGCATTGAATGAAATAGACCTTGGACTGGGAATCCCGAGACCTGGGTGAGTCTCTGAAGCTGTTTGTGCCTCAGTCTCCTGGGATGAAAATAGGGACAGGATGGTCACCCCTTAGCTTGTCCCTTTTGCCCTTCTCTCTCTCTGTCACTCTCAATGTCTCTGTCCTCTCCCTGTCGTTCTGCTGTCTCTGTCTGTTTCTGTCTTGCCCACCACCGTCTTTCCCCTCTCTTTCTGTAATTCTATCACCACCAGCGGATCCCCAACCCACCCAGCCCTCCCGCTCCAGGGCCACCTGGCCTCTGAGCTCTCCCTTTCCCCCGCCGCCCAGGTCGCCCTGTCCCTGGTTCCATCTACAACTCTGCTGGCCAAAGACCGCTTCCCCTACAGGATGTCTCTTCTCTAGGGTGTATCTGCCCACGACTTCGAGGACTTTGGGGACTGGCCGGGGCGGGGTAGAGGGTAGGGGTCCACACCACACAGCCCTTCTTCCTCCCCCCCTCCCACCGCCAGAAACGGAGACAGACACCAGGCAGTGCATTTACAGACGTTTATTTTCCGTGCTGCAGGGGCGGGGCGCGGGGACCGCGCGGGGTGAGGGGGAGGGCGGCGGACTCACGCGGCTCAGTAGACGCCGGGCTGGGCG